CATTGATACCGCGCAGTCGTCAGCACCACACGCAGCCTTTTGGTCCGCGGCGCACTAGGTCGAAAAAACGGCGTTACTGGTCCTTCTCTGAGAACTCTCATGCATTTTAGATTGTGGAAAAGGGGGTGTTTCTTTTCGGTGCCTGGTGGTCATGTTTGTGTTAGATAGATACACCGGACGACGTGTACTGTGTAAGTAGATATGGTGGGATACAGGGGTCACGCATCTGAAACCCTGATCCCAGGTATAACAGCGCGTGAGTGAGACATATGGACAGACTTGCTCAGGAACACGGTGCGACTACACCGTGTGATCATAGTAGCTATGCTATTGTTGATCCTCTGGCATGGCACGACACCTTACTGCAATTGTCAAGTAAATCTTCTCTCACCGTGGCTCCGTGTATCAAAAGCATGCACGCACACGCTAACAAGCTGTATTTTGAGTTTTTGTGATTGTTTTGCTCAGGATTGCCTGATCACTAAGTGTGTTATGGAACTAAATTCCACCATATAGTGGTACTATCGACGAACTTCTCCAAATGTGTTCTAGAAGCGAAGCAGCAGCATCATCTGCCGATGGGGGTATAATGAACAAACCAATATAGCGGAATCGGGGGTAGATATTCTCAGACCGGTGAGAATACGGAAAATCCGCAACGAATATTGCCCTCCTTGACAAGGAGGACCATGGGTATGTGAAGTGAAAGATGTTGAACAACATGGTGTAGCGGGAAAGTTTGGTATCGGGAAACGCCTTTCCGTTCCCCCATCGCACCGAGAGCGTAAACAACAAACGTGTCGAAATGCAGAGACAATATTTTCAAAACGCCCGAAATCATAATACATAAACTCATAATACACCACCGCTAGATGTGTGTGCCCGATCCGTCAAACGCCAAGCAAGCCTTGTGCGAAATGTCTGTGCACCGGGAGAAAGGAAGGATAAAGAGAGCACAAAGTGTGTGGGGAAGCAAGCATCAGAGCATATCGTAATGCCACCGAGGGAAACCACTGATCGAGATTGCGCCTCGGCCAAGAAAATGGTGAAATAGGTAATTGGAATCGAAGGGAAAAGATGCCATCACTGATACGCGTGGTGGCGGAGCGGAGTACGGCAACATAATCGCGAAATGATCCCGAGATGACAAGGGTCGAGGATGGCGCGAAGCGAGCGTCGAATGCACCTCAGAGTGCCAGCCCGGTGCCGTCGCCGCTCCAACGGTAGAGACTCAACATTTCCCTTCGGCGTTGTTGCGCAAGTTCGGCATGTTCGTCTATGCCGCGGCCACGCACTTGCTGCAAGGCAGAGCGCATGACTTTTCGGAAATTTCGCTGTGAGATGATTGTTAGCATAAATGGTCGTGTTTGAGAAAAACTCCGCTTGGCTGAAACAGAAAGGAAGGCTGATTGCGTAACGAGAAAAGAGCAACAAACTATCCGGAGCGCTTACCTGGTACTCGGTATTGAGAGTCACAATGCATGCCTCGTGTGCACGTACTATGACTTCGCACGCACGAACTATCTTGGGGTTGGCGTCTCCTTGGAGTTTGTCGGCGATGAGAAGCAATAAGAAGCTTCCTTGTAGAAGGTAGATCCCGAAGAAGAACGGCATGAAGCTCAAATCAGGATCCAACTCAAGGACCTCGTTCAATGCCTCAGCTGCATGGACCGCATGGCCGGTAGCATCCACAAAACTCTGCGAAGAGATCCAGAGGTCGTTATCATCCAGAAGCGAAATGGGATCCCACTTCCCGTTCAGCAAGATATGCAAGGTGTGCATGAGGTGCGTGCCATACGCCTCCACAATCTTGGCGTGCAACAAGTTCTCCTGCGCTCGGGATATAGACGAATTGACAGATCGTACCGAGGGCGTGCCAGGATGCACTGATTCCTGCTGGGCCTCCACGTTCGCTTCATGGACTGCACGGTTCCGAAGTTCTTGCAAAGAATGGCCATAGGCGACAAGCTGCTGACTGATCTCTACTACATGGTGTTCCCAGTCCGTCTTGGCTCCAAAACGCGGGTGATTGCGGGCATGGTATAGATCGGTAATCTCTCCAAGGATCGTCATCAGAGGAAGGAAAAATCCGAAAATGGAGTGCCCGGTGCACTCGAATATAGGCCCTCTTCGGCGAAATGTGTGATCTGAAAACGATTGAGCGGAGTCCTCGAAGAATTCCCCAGATTGCCATACGTTATCGTCAAGCGGCTGCAGAAGCCCGGAGCATTCCACGTCCAATAAAGAGAGCGGCCGGTTGTAGCATAGGGCTAGGTGGCTACAGATGGATCAGCACTTGTCGATTTGGGGAACTTGGCTGATATGCCATGATGTCGACAGCATGGTTCCAGCAATGTTTCTTTGTTGGTGCCACGGGCGACAAAGATCAGAAGGCTTACCGATCAACGGTGAACAAAAGCCACCATATACGTCTACGCTCTTCTCTTTGCTCCTCAGTGCATTCTATGGAAGAGTGTTGGCCGTTCGGGTATGCTCCGCGCCCATGTTCGGCACGGATATCTGCCGAAATGTTTTCGTCGTTGGGTTCGGGTGGAGGCGTCACAGGCACTTCTTTACCCAACTTGAGCTCTCTGGCCAGTGACCATGCTGCGTTCCACCAGCGTAGTGACGCGGCCTTGTACTCGCTTGCTGAGATGACAATAGCCAGGTGCATGTAAGTCACTACCTCATCAAGGCCGCCGCATGCTCCCGCTGTAAAGCTTTGCGTTAACACTGGAGAATCTAGGACTTGAACGGTGAATGTCGACTTACGTAGACCTATATCGGATTCTTGAGTTGGCATTCCAAAACCGTCCATGGTCACACCGTCAACCATGTTTCCAGTGGCGAAATTTGTAGGGCCACTATCCGGGCTGCCTGGTGTTTGATGTACCAAGGGCTTCAACAGACTGATTGTCAGATTGATCAGCTTCTCGGAAAGTTGACTCCGTGCAGACGGGGATGAAGATAGATAGGGCGACTCGCTCGTCAAGCAACCAATCCATAACATGCTAGCTAGCAGTGCTGGGCTGCACACCCTTGGGTTATTCGTCCTCAGAAACGACCGTTTTCGGAATACGTAACCAAGCACGTAAGGAGATACGGGTTGCATGAACGCGGACGAGGAACTCTGGAAGTAAAGCTCGAGTAAGTCGCAAGCCAATGAAATTGGCATAATGTTTGCCAGGTGCGGTACCAACGGCTGCAAGACTGGGTACCTCAATTGTTGAGAGTGGCCTTGATGTGGCGCGCCCGAGTACATGGTAGTAGAGGGAGAAGGCAAAATCCAACCCGGTGAGCCATTGGCTGGGGACTGAGGCATGTAGCCCATATTTGGGGGTTCTTCTGGCATTCCAAAGGCGCCTGGCTGTGGCTGTGTTTGTGCATGTGCACTCTGCGGACTCATCATGCTATAAGGGCTGCCTGAGTACTCCATAGCATGCCCGTGGGAAGAAACGGCAGGATGCATTCCTGGTTGCATCACCTGAAGTGGTGGTTGTTGGTAGGCAAGGTTTCGATGGTACTCCATGGATGCGTACTCTGGAATGGAGTGCTGCATTGGCAGTCCTTGGGTCTGGATGCGAGGCGGCTGCATAGGCTGCATGGCTTGCATGCCGTCAGCCATTTGGTGATGCATGTCGCCTTCTGGGATTGTGTCAATGGCGTTCAGGCTCATGGTCCTGTTCGGGTACATGGATGCCGTGTCCATGTCGGAACTTGTGGTTGCAATACTGGCAGACCGTGCCGGTAGGTCGGAACGAGGTCTCTGGCCCCCTGGGAGTTTAGGACTGCTACTTGGAATAGATTCCGCCGTCTTGTCCGAGGGCTGTGGAGTGCTGGACTCTTCAGACTTGACCGTACTGCTTCCTGCGGCAGCGGCTGCGGCAGCCTGTTGCTGAGCGATGTCTTTTCGCGATGCTTTCCCGCGCTTCTTGCGCTCACGGATGTATTCGCAAGTCAGACCAAATTCTGGTGTTTTGTTAGTGAAACTGTCAGACGTGGTAGTGGCAGGACATGGCCGGCTGTGCTAGGTTCCGACTAAGACGCCTAGCAGACGCCACAGTAGAAAAGGCCGATCACGGTGCCAGAATATCCCCAGACAACTGCGGGGTTCACTGCCCCGGTCCACGATTCGTTGCAACGTACCTATACAATGCGCGCACTAACCCATGGATTAGTTGACTTGGCTCTAGTAGTACATGTGGGACGCTGGTAGTTGTAGTAGTGGTAGGAACTTACAGACTGTCTCCCATCACACTTTGTTCGCAGTTGATTACACTGGTCGCATGCCCGACTGATCCTACGTCGCACCGGCCCCGACGCAGAGTTGCTGCGGCCTGATCGTTCGTGAAGCATCTCTCGCTGGTGTCGTGGGGCCAGAGGTCCACTGGCGTATGGTAGTCGATGATGGGGCTTGATGACGGCTTTCCCGTTGGGCAACACATGCCGGTTGTGGTGGAACTGCAATGCGGCGTATTGCGAGGGGTGGGCCATGGATTCGAGTGAGGAATGTCCCATGGGGTCCACGGCAAGATGGTGATGGTGATGTGGATGGTCGACTGCGTTGGGCGAAGGGACATGGCTGAATGCCGGGGGGTACTGATGGAGATTCGTGGAAAGCATAACTGCGTTCTAGCGTCCGTCTCCACCAAACTTCCACCACTCGAGAGAAGAGGCTGAGGAGTCAATAGTGGCAGCAAGGGATTGAATATGTCCGTAGGGGAAGATGTGATGGGGGGCGGTGGAGAGAGGTGGAGAGTTGTTTGGCAGGGCTAGAGGGTTGCAGCGCTGAGGGGCGGTTGTGCTGTGAAGGACGTCCAAAAGATATGCAGGTCAGTTGTCCAACCGTCTTCTTTTGACTACAGCAGCGGGCCAGGGTTACGATATTGCAGCCGGCTACCACAGTGGCCGCTTGATGCTGAGCCTTAGTGGAGGCAGTGGGGTATAATAGGTTCTGTCCACTGCGTGGCAGCGCAGGAGGGCCTTCATACCGAATCGACATGGGCAAACCTGTCGCTCCTCCGGGCCCAGCTGCGTCGTGCGTCAGAGATGTCTCTGGCCACATGCTGCAAACGAGATGGGCAGCAGGGCAGGTTCGTGCGTAGGTGCGTCTGGTGGTCGAATGTGGTCAAGCTGGCTTCCGTTCCCCCATCCCCAGTTTGAGCAATTCACCCCTGCCAGACCCTGGTCTTGCAGCACACCAACACTCGAGGGCGAGCACAGTCCACCAAAGCCGCTGGATCGCCGGTGCTGCGGACGTGAACGCGGACACATGCCAGAACGCTCGCCGCGGGTTAGACTGGCAATCAAAAAACCATATTGGCTGATCGGTGCCATCCCGACCCTATATGCGGCCGACTTAAGAAGGGTAGTGTACCGATGCCGGCTCAACAAGTACCTCCAAGTACCTGTCCGTACCCAAGACCCACCCACCACTATAGCATGGCCCGTTTCCCGTTGCTGAGCGATCAAGGGCACCCTGGGATGGTGATTGGCGAACCCAGCCCGCTCAAACTGCGTCCGTTGGCACACGAGCCGCTCGCAACACGGGACCTGGCAGTCTCCGCCACCGCCCAGCCAGCAGCCAGCAGCCTGCCTGGATGGAGACGCGACCACCTCTTCCTTTGGCCGCAGCCCCCAATGGGCCCTCCCTGGCTCGACATGCACCCTCAAGCCCAGCGCTACCCGCCTCGATGCCGGTCATACTGCACCCTGGTGACGAACCCGCCGCCCATCCCAACCTGCGCTGATCGTCTCCATCCCATCCCTCTCCCGCCGACCACCCCGGAGATGGGCCATGGACCGTCAGCTGGAAATGCTCAAGACTCTCGTCTCAGACGCATACAAGCCTCTGCTACCAGAGTTTTCACAGCACGCTGCAAGGGCCGTGGACCAGGGCCATCCCCATCACAATCCGCCTATAATCCCTCCCAGGAACCAAACACGTAGAGTGTGTCCCTTCATAACACTAATGCATTTCCACAGTTACTCCGCTAATGCATCTTATGAACCCCGTATACCAGCCTGGACAAATCCGCCCCACCGCTAGAGCCAGACTCGAGTTTGCCAAGCCTAAACCTGGAAAAACTCCCATGTGCATGTGTTGAACATCATTACATCTGGATATAGCACATAGTGCTATGGCGCCAGCTCAAAGGAAAAACCGGGCAACCACAGCTGCTGCATGTGTGCCACGTCTGTTCCAACCTGCTGAAAGATGCTCCAAAGCGGGCCGTGTCAGCAGCGTTGCAGGAACACCCCATCGACTTCACGGTGCAGGATGCTCCGCGCTACTCAGCAGGGCGAGTGTGTATCCGTTGTTCGGTAACGAGGGGGCCCCACCCCCGAAGAGGCCTTGTCGAGTTTGGCTGCAGTTCCAGACCTTGACACCGTTGGCTGACAGGTTCCAACTGTCGACGTTAGGCGACAACGCTGTAGTATCTGTGGATCGCCTCGCATCCTGCCTGCTGGGCTAGTGCCTCCAGTGTTTACCAAGCACCACAAATTTAAATTGACCTGCATCGGTCGCCACAACGACCCGGATTCGCATTACAATGTCGGACCGTTGTCCAAGCGGCTAGAAGTATTCGCAGCAATGTCACGCTGAAGCCTTTTGGGGAGGTTTTTTTTGGTCATCGACACGAACATTGTCTCGAGATCCTGCAAGAAGGATTTTCGTCTGATCTGGTCCAAGTGATTTCCATCGTGAGTCACTGTAACGTGATGGCATCATTTTTAACCGCCCAAACAACAAGGCACGAAAACCATGAGCAACGCGTTTGTCCCCTTTCGCCACTTATATCGGAAGAATGCAAGCTAGTAGTGAGGCCTCCAAGACTCGTCTTATCAGGCCATGGCCTGTTTTTTATACCAGTCTGGTAATCAGATTCGACGACCGTCATTTGAACTTGCGGGAATATGCTCAAGCATGGCACAAATGCGAGCCTGCTCGGCGTTGCCGATTGCACAGGGTGAAAACAACGCGTCCCAACATTTCACCCTTCTATCTTTACCGTAATGGGTATGCGTAGCTGCAGTGATGTGCAGACATTCAACACATTCGGTACTACGATAAGCTATGCACTCAGTTCATGCCCCTGATCTCATCGTGACTGTGATGACTGTTGATCCGGTCTTCATTGACAGAAAGCAGGCCAGCCAACTGCAGTCATCTGCAGTTTACTTGTGTTCGACAGTCGACTGCTTAGCTACCATACACTTGACAAGAGACCCGAAAAAAAGAAACACGAAACGCCTCATGTCATAGTCTCTATGTTCTCTTAATAGTGTGCAGCTCTATTATACCAGTACCACAATTGTTTCACTCGTCGTTCAATGAAAATCTGTCTTTATCACTCATGCTAAGACGTGATTAAGATAGTCTGACAAATTAGTCCCTGTGAGTAATGCTGAACGACTACCGCAAACATCCTATTGGGTCTGATTCTCCGTCGCCTGTCCACTTTCGATGTCAACGGATTTCGTGTAAGGCAAAGAAGGGTTTCCTAGAAAGACCTATACTCAGTCTCTTACCACGTCAGCAACAACATGAAAGTGATCAAAAAAAGAACTCCCTGGAAATAGTATCATGTGCAGTGTAACACAAGATGCAGTGAAGCTTCTATTCTAGGCCAGTCGTGGCTAATCTCGTCTGCATGAAAGGTGTAATCAGCGAAAGTGGCCTTCAACAAGGATTCGTTTGCTCTTCACAGAACGGAGTGAGAAAAGGGCTATCAATGGAAATGGATGCGGATAAAACGAATGCTTCCATCGGTAATGTTTCCTCTTTTAGCTGCAAAAAGCAAGCACAGTGTCTTCAAATATGTTAGTGACAACAAACAGCAAAAACTCCAAACACCTGTCTCGCCATGGAGTCGCTGAGAATGCAGCTCACTTGCGTTGCTCCCTTTACCAATACCCATACACTTCGTGGAAAATTCGAGGTCACGGATGTGAACAATGAGTGGAATCAACGACGCTTCTCGCTGATCTATACATTTAACAAATCTATTTATCATAATCACTATCGATATTTCGATGTATAAGACCTATACACAAACCTCGGTGATGAGTTGACATATTTACTCCTGATTCTTTCAACTTGGCTTTCAGCCTAGTTTCATCGTGACACTCGAATACATATTGAATCCATGCTACGACTATGGATTCGTATCACGTACGACTATGGCAATAAAGTTGGAATTGGATTTTCATTGACGCTGAAGGTATTCTCACATTTTAGATAGCAAGTCGAAATAGTATTGCAGTAACAATCACATCATCCATCTGGCATTGCAAATCTTTTTGTTTCAAAAAAAGAACAAATACCTCTGCATTAAAAGACAATTACCAAAACACACACAGTAAAGGGGTTTGAGTTGCTCTTTTCGATGATTTTTGTAGTAACAGACTTGAGGTGCTCCTACCACAGCAGTGCAGCTACCCAACACCAGTCCTGCTAGTTTTCAACATTCTAGAACTATATGACCGTAAAGAACAAGGTTTTCTGGATTCTCCACGATATCTGATACTATTGGCAATGGTTTAGATATCATTTGGGTTACCATTGCGATCCAGTCACTTTAGCGCACCGACAGATGACAACACGCCGACGCTAGATTACCGACGGGCCGCAAAAGATCACCACAATTCGTATTGCTTACTGCTGCTGCTTTGACTCAACAAACTAGGTACGTCGTGTCTTTCTAATACAACCTCCAATTTCAATCACTGGTTACTTTTTAAACGCCGGGGCGACTTTACGCGGGGTTTTCTACTAGTCGGACCTTGAGCGGCTTCAACATGTCATGAGCCGAATTTGCCGTGGTTCCTAACTACAGAATCAAATAGAGGCATCTTCAAGCTGTATTCTTGTTTGAATTATACAAGGATATTCTTCATCTGATCGGCCCACTGTAAGACGGGATGGGGGAGACAACCAAAGAGCTCTATCCAACCACTTTGGCGTACCAAGAGTATGTTACTCATCTAGAACATGTTGGTGTGCAACTATGAGACACTTGTTACTACTGGTCTACTTACATCGATCACATTCTGAGACTTGTGTCAGTTTGTTACCTTTGAAATTCAAAGCCATGCAGCACCAACATATACATATTGCCTCGACCAGACGATCGCGCCACAATTCGACTTTGCACGAACCATGTGGCTTGAGTGGCGATGAGGCAGGCAAAATCCAAACTCAGCAATGATAAATTGAGTCCTCATGTTGTGACTGTGCTGACCGTCATTCCATTCTGGAATAATTCTCAAAACAAGGTAAGCAGTTGCTTACGCTAAGGCCGAGATCTTCATAGGCAGAGCAAATCCCTCAATACGATGACAACTCGAAGACGTGTCGTACCGAGCCGTTCCGCACAGCTGTCCCACCCCATGGGGATGGGTAAAGACCCAAATAAACAGCACCCAAGTTCTTGAGAATTCATATAAGGCGCATGGAGCAAGCGATACTGCTGCACCATCGAGCAGGGAAGTTGGCAGGACAAGGCATCGCGGCTTCCAAAGCCGACTTCAGCTCGGCTTATTGATTTTCATATATTGCTCATACATCCCTTGACATCGCTGCATAAATCCCATGGCCGCCTCACTGATGGACACGTGCGGGACCTGGTCATAACAGGTAGAGGTATGGCTATTGACGGGACTATATGCCGCCCAAGATATAGTCCCTATGGACGCTGGATTTCGGCTTCTAGCGCCAGTTCATCCGCTCTTGAGGGTCACATGGCTCACAAAGGCTTGACAAGCTCACAGACCCACGTGAACATGTACACCCTGTCACTTGTGAAACTTTGTACACCGAGTAGGCCTCGGTCTCGGGCTTCCTAATAGACAGTAGGTATCGTGAGGTAAAACAGCCCGCCCCATCTCAAGGGGTTGATCCAACGATAGCGGGGTTGAGTGGGTATTCTAGAGGTTCTATGCAGAATGCAGGGTGGTGTAGGAACCAGGGCATATTTGATACTCCCCTGCAGGGCGCTCAACAGGCACAGTTGAAAGTCTCTGTGGAGCGTGTGCAGAGAATTGGCATGAAAATTACCTATAAAGAAAAAGACGGTGTCGGTAAACCTGCCACTCTTCTCCCGTTGAAGATTCTGCGTTCCGTTGCGCAAGGTGAGTTAATGAGACTACTTGAGAGGAGTCATAAATGCAGTAACGATACTATGCTTTCGACGTAGTACACTGATGAAAATGGCCCTTTGTTGCTATTCAGATATGTGATTGACCCAGCACTGTCTACCACTCACTGAGATGCAGTGGCGGCATCTCAATGAGATGACAAGAAAAGGCCCGAACCCATGCCGACGGCAATCTTGCGTCTCAACATAAACTACGGTGGTACATTACTCACAGGTCACGACCAAGCCAATTCTCTGGTAGATGACCAGGTCGGTGGAGACGGTCCGGGGTATGGAGCTACTGCTGCGGCCCTACTGTGCAGGTTATTACAGCCATGTGGTAGAAGGCTTGAGTAATCCGATGAGATGGCCGAGCAAATGCCCGGAAATTTTCCTCCATCATGGCCACGATAGGGCAAGTGAGTATGTAATCGCGCCGTCGATAACCGTCGTGATAAGAGAGATTGTATTGAGTCCGTTTTTCGGCGTGGAGGGGTGAATGTCCTCCACCAAGATGGAACGTGCACGAGCTAATCCTAGCGTGTCATACGTCATTTCCGGTTTGGCGGCGGGCAACGCTTCAACTCAAAATTAACTGCTCCCAAGACGCCGCTGAATCGACATTGCCGTGTCTGCTTATTGTGCATTGCCACTTGAATTTATCCATAGGGGCCTCGTACCAAACAAGCACCTGCACCATGTCGCTCGAGAAGATCACGACCATTTCTCCCATCACCAACAAGCCAATCGTCACACGCAATGGCCTCTCAGATGCTGATTTGCAGTCTCTCCCTGAGACGGCTGCAACAGCATTTGAGTCCTATCGACGCACATCACTCTCTGAGAGGCAGGCAATTGTTAAGAAGGCCTTGAAGCTGCTAAATGAACGCCAAGATGTCTTGGGTAAAGAGATCACAGAACAGATGGGTCGCCCCATTGCCTATACCGCCAAGGAAGTCAGCACGGCGGTTATGCGCGGCGAGTACCTGCTCAAAATTAGCGATGATACGCTCAAGGACACGGACGGCGAACCGGAGAAGGGATTCAAGCGCTACATCAAGAAAGTCCCTCTTGGTCCCGTATTGATTCTATTTCCGTGGAATGTGGGTTGTGGTCAAGGGTTACATTAAGTCTTGCACTTGCTAACCATATATGCAGTACCCATATCTGACTCTCATCAACTCGCTAGTGCCTGCTCTGCTTGCAGGAAATTCTGTCATTTTGAAGCCATCGCCCCAGACGCCAACCAGTGCCGAGCAGATCCAGCAGATCTTCAAGGAAGCCGGCCTTCCTGATGGTGTGCTTCAAATCTTTCACTGTGGATCCGTCACCCAGATTCAGTCGATTGCACGATCGCCAAAGATTCAGCTTGTTTGCTTCACCGGATCGGTGGCCAATGGTCTCGCCATTCAGCAAGCTGCGAATGACAGGGTTCCACTCCGAATTGGCCTTGAACTAGGAGGCAAGGATCCCGCTTATGTTCGTTCTGATGTTGACGTCAAATGGGCTGCCGAAGAGCTCGTAGATGGTGCAGTCTTCAACTCAGGCCAGAGTTGCTGCAGTGTTGAGAGGATCTACGTGGACGAGAAAATCCACGACGAGTTTGTATCAGCACTCCAAGAGGTACTCAAGGGATACAGGCTCGGCGATCCATTTGATAAGAACACTCATGTTGGTCCCGTGGTCTCCAAGAGATCTGCGGAGACTATCCGCGAGCACGTCAAAGACGCTCTGGCAAAGGGAGCCAAGGATGCTACCCCGGAAAATGCAACATTCCAGAATCCGCCCGCAGACGGAAACTATGTTGCTCCGACCCTGCTGACAAATGTCAACCACGAGATGATAGTGATGACTGAGGAGACGTTTGGCCCTGTTATTCCAGTCATGAAGGTCAAGGACGACGCAGAAGCAATCAAGCTCATGAATGACAGCCAATTTGGTCTTACAGCTAGCATTTGGACTAAGGATGTTAACAAAGGCCATGAACTCGCCGATGATGTTGAAGCTGGTACCGTTTTTGTCAATCGATGCGATTACCCCGCACCTGTAAGTAGCTCTATCGCCGCAGCCATAGTATTGCATACTGACAATTTTAGGACCTGGCATGGGTTGGCTGGAAAGACTCTGGTCGAGGTCAGACTCTCAGCAGGTTCGGCTTCGACCAATTCGTTAAGCTCAAGAGCTACCATGTCAAAGATTACCCGAAATAGATGCAGCATCCGAGGCATGTTACAAGCCTGTTGCCTGTCAAGAGTGCTCGCCGCTGAGATGACAGTTAGGGATACCATAGGTATAGTTCAATGCAACCAGTCTTGCAAAGAAACTACTAAACACCATTCACGAATTTGGACCAGCGTGACGATGAATTCAAGTGCATTGACAGCCAGCAGGTTGTTAACATTGTCGTTGCAAGAGCACAGGTACAAATACTCTGACCAGAACCTAGTAGCAATGTGTTCTTGCGTGCAATCACGTGAACATGCATCTTGAAACAACAATACTTTGTTGAGAATCTTATGTGACTACTAGCGCCTGAACAGGTGCTCTCTCATCTCCACATTTCGCTGGCACCAGCTGATAACCTCAGATCGATACGGGAAGAATAAACAAAGAAATCAATCTCAAACACGACTAAAGTTTGTGATCCGCAAGGGTCGTGACTCGGGCGGCCAAGTTTAGAGAAAAGCTTGTCACACCATGATAACTTCCATGCGAACCCTGGATTCCGTATCCATTTTTCTTCGCTTCTCCAGTTATTGGGTTCTACTTTGGAGATCAATTTTTTCCGGTGCCTGTGATTCTTCATGCATATCACCGATCAAACTCAAGCCATTTCTTCCGCTCTTTCTTTCACGGCTTTGTCGCGCGCCTAGCCTCCCGGCACAGCGCAATTCCCTTTGTACCGAGGCCTATGTTTCAGCGTCTGTGCTCCCCATACCTGGCTCCGGCTTTGGAAATCCCAACTTGGCCCGTATTGGCAGATACCGACCATCCATCTATCCATTCTTACTGATCCAGATCTGTAATTTGTTGTTGCTTCTTCTCCAGTGACGCTGCAACCTGTTTTTTTTCACCCCACACCTACAGCAATGGCATCCATGTCTATGGCTACTGTGATGCAACGTGTGTTTCCCTGTTTTGCTCCACGGACGAAGAGGGCTATAGTCATTGTACGTCCGCCGTCTCCCCTATGCTCCCTTTTATCCTACCAGTTACATGCATGATGTTTCCGTCACATTTTTCTAATATACACATATATAGGGCGCACCGACAGATGTACGACATTTAGACATCTCAGAATGCATACCCGGTCTCTCAGAGGCGCAATGTGAACAAATACGGAACAAGAGCAGGAGCAATGCCACAAGCTTACTTGACTTCGGAACTGAAGTGCTGCCGTATCCACCCAGTCTTGCTACTCGGGATATATCGACGCGCGGGTCTGGATCGGAATATGAGGACTCGTGGGGGAAATCAAAATCTTGCCTGTCGTTGAACGACTCGTTGGTGAATGATGCGGCAAAGAAGTCGCCGACTGATGTCGCGATACCGCCACGGGCGGCACGTAAGAAGAGTAGTATGATGGAGTTGGAGATGGAGGATATGCTGGAGACTGAGACCCAGTCTCGGGGTGATGTTCGTGATCAGGATGCGATCATGTACGAGACACTGCCCGGCCAACAAAAGACTCAGAAATGAGGAGTGTTAAGGGGTGTGTAAAATCAGGTTCATGCTTCACAGGACAGGGCAATAGAGTTGCAAATAAACAGTAATCGCAGGGCGAGGTCAAAAAGCCAAAAAAGCAAGGGTATGCACAGGTTGCAAAAGCGTTTCATTCGATAGGTCTATTCAGGCAATACAGCACCTAATGTATTATTTATTTGACTATCTAGTTCAAGAAAAATCGATATTCAAGATGGATCATCTCATAGGCTCCAGAATGATATTATCAAGTAACCGGACAGGAACCTGATGACCCTCAGCGTCCAGTCGGCCCAAATCTTCTTTGTCTGGCTGTGGTTCCTCAACCGGCAGCATCTTGACCACACCACTTAGAATGGCGCCCTTGCTGTCATCAATCTGCTCGATTTCTTCCATGGTATCTGGGTCGGCAAGGCTGATGTAATCGACTTCAAACTTTGCGCGCTGGTTAGGCTCTAGCTGCTCCTGGTCAAGGAGCGTCATGTTTGTGTGATCAAACGCAGGCCACAACACATCATTCCGCAGGCGCATCCCGTTCTTGTACTTGATTTCTGCCTTGCGAAGTGCTTGATTGAGAACAATAGCCACATTGCGGCGGCGGGTGCCCAGGTAGACGTTGCGAGATGAAAGAGCAAGGCCGTCAGACTCCCTTGACGTAGGGATTATACGCAGATCCATGTCGAGGTGGAAGTCGGTGATCATCCGTTTGATGACGCGAGTCTGTTGGACGTCCTTTTGGCCAAAGTAGACGCGGTCCGGAGCGCAAATGTTGAAGAGCTTCATGCACACGGTTGCTACGCCGCGAAAGAAGACGGGTCTTGATGCGCCCTCAAGGATTTGGCCAAGCGGGCGCATCTCGACAAACGTTCCCACGCCGGGGATGCTGCTGTCGGGCGGGAGGGTAGGATACATAGTTTTCGTTTCTGGTGCGAAGATGGCCGTAACTCGTCCTTGGCCCGAGCTTGCCAGCTCTTGGTTCAGCTGCTCTACTATGCGCAGGTCTGTCTCCCATGTCTTTGGGTACGAGTCGAGATCCTCGTTCAGGCCGAATTGGGTGGGGTTCACGTAGATTGTGACAAAGACGTCGGTGTTTTCAGCTGCGGCATGGCGCATGAGCGAGATATGGCCTTCGTGCAGGGCGCCCATGGTGGGCACTAGACCGACAGTACGTTGATTGAGGCGTAGATCTCGCCGGAAGTCACGTAAGGGAGCGACATGGCGAAAGATCTGAGGTTGGGGATTCGAGGACGAGGTATTGCATGGACTCGGTGATCCGGAGAAGAAGCGGATGCCGTTACTTGTTCTCGAAGCTTGCAATGGACGCGAAAACTTGACTAGGAGACACGAGCGTGCTGTCGGTACTGATCTTGGTCAGCTCAATGGCTCAGGGTCTGTGTGTAAGGTTGTATTCACCAGGTGCTAACCGGAGTGGTGACATTGCGGGGAGTTGCGGAGGTGTCGCTCGGAACAAGACTGGAGTTAGCTATAGAGTCGCGCAGCGACCAAGCGGATGATGCAACTTCTCCCGCGCAACGTGGAGATGGATGAAACATGGCGAGGCGGTGAAAAGGCTGCCATGGCTTGTAAGATTTGAGAACGGACAAGACGTCTGGTTTCTGCGCTGAAGGTAGCATCATGGGTGCACACGTACGGCCACATCGGGTTTAGTGTCCCACTAAAAAGATGGAAGTCGAGATTTCGCATTCTGGCGCAGTCGACGACCGACACCCCGCTACTTTCACGACCGGCGACGGCGATAAAACGCAGATATGGGCGACGATGGCATGCTCCTCAACTTCTCCATCCCGGAAAGCGGCATTATCGCAAAGCCAACCTTCAAGGGCGGCAACTGGAAGAGTCGGCTCACAGCAAAGAAGGCGGCGCAGAACTGGCATACCAAGGCGACAGCACGATTAAACGGCGAAACAGTACCCAAGAAGAAGGTCGACCATGCCACCAACGTGAACCGCACAGAATTGGGCCCGCGCACACCAAAGCCCGTCGACGATTCTGACCTACTCGACCATGGCGACAGAAATCCAAAGCGAGCGCGTGTGAGCGGAGAATTCAAACCGAAGGCCGTTGAGAAGACTGCAGACCCCAACTTCAGGCCCCAGTCGAACGCGAATGCAACAAAACGCCCTGGCGAGCAGCAGAGCGCACCAAAGGGCGGCAAGCAGGTCATTTCTTCGCTGTTCACCTACAATCCCACTTCTACCACCAAGCCGGAAGCGACTCAACAACGCGAAGACGATGCGCCCGTCGAACCCTCGAATGCGCCCCTCAGTAGCGAACTCCACACATTCACTTCACTCGGCATGTCCACAACGCTTGCCAGTCATTTGCTCAACAAGATGGACCTGAAGGCGCCCACAGCTATTCAGAAAGCTGCGATAACACAATTGGTCAAAGATGACTCGGATGCTTTTATACAGGCCGAAACCGGTTCCGGAAAAACCCTGGCCTATCTTCTGCCCATTGTGCAGAGACTAATGGACTTGTCGGCGAACATGAAGAAACGGAAAGTCGACGAAAATGTGCAAAGGAATTCGGGCTTGTTTGCTATTATTCTGGCGCCAACGCGAGAATTGAGCAAGCAGATTGCTATGGTACTGGAGAAGATTCTAGGATGCGCACATTGGCTAGTAGCCACGACGGTTATTGGTGGTGAGAAAAAGAAGTCGGAGAAGGCTCGTTTGCGAAAAGGTATCAACATCCTGGTCGCAACACCGGGTCGATTGGTTGATCATCTGGAGCACACAGAAGCGCTGGATGTAAGCAATGTCAGGTGGTTGGTTCTGGATGAAGGAGATCGCCTGATGGAACTTGGTTTCGAGCAAGAGATTCAGAAGATTGTTGGTGCTTTGAACCTACGAATGCGCGCGAGGAAAGACGAAAAGTCGCGGATACCAGGGCTTCCAGAGAAGCGCACTACAGTACTCTGTTCCGCAACCATGAAGATGGACGTTGAGAGGCTGGGTCAGATAAGTTTGAAGGATGCCGTCCATCTTCGAGCCGATCCGTCAGAGAAGGAACCAGAAACAAGCGAGACAAGCAGGGATACTACTTTCTCCGCACCGGCACAATTGAAGCAGTCGTATGCTGTTGTAGCGCCCAAGTTGCGACTAGTGTCGCTGATTGCCTATCTGAAGCGCGCGTTTGCGCGAAAGGGGTCCGTGATGAAGGCAATCGTCTTCATATCGTGTGCCGACTCTGTCGACTTCCATTTCGACATGCTTACTAGCGATCTCGAAGGAAAAGAAGAACAAAAAGAGGAAGACAAAGAAGACTCGACCGAGGACGAGGCTACGAAAGATGACAAGAAAGCCAGCAAGAAGACCAAGGCGATACAATCAGATCCTACAAAACTCGAAGTAACGAGTGCAGTAGCACCGATATTATCAGCAAAGACACATTCAGTAACAGCGTACCGTCTCCACGGTTCCCTCCAACAATCCCTCCGAACATCGACCCTCGCACAATTTGCAAAGAACAAGGAACCTTCTGTCCTCATAGCTACCGACGTCGCTTCGCGTGGTCTTGATTTGCCAAACGTAGATTTAGTCATTGAGTTCGACCCTGCTTTTGCCCGAGAAGACCATTTGCACAGAATCGGCCGTACGGCGCGTGCTGGTCGCGACGGACGTGCATGCATCTTCCTCATGCCCGGCTCCGAAGAAGGCTACGTCGACATCCTCAAATCCGACCGCAAGGAAACCGAGGCGGGCATTCATATTGCGCGCCAAGACGCAGACGACATTCTCAACCGCGGTCTCGTCACCAGCGGTGTCATGGAGAAGAATGCTTACATGGACAAAGCAACAGATCTCCAGCTCGCCATTGAGCGATGGGCTCTGGCTTCTCCTGCTCGTCTCGAAGCTGCCCGTCGCGCGTTCCAAAGTCATATCCGTGCGTACGCCACGCATGTTGCTGACGAACGCAAGTATTTCGACATCAAAGCTCTGCACTTGGGTCACTTGGCCAAGGCTTTTGCCCTTCGCGAGCGACCCAGTGGCATGAAGGTTCCAGGTCAACGAACTGGTGCTGGCCGTAATGACAAGACGCCTGCCAAGGTTCGTGGTGGACCAAGAGTAGATGGCGCAAGTCGTAAAGCTGCCACCGAGACGGGTGTGTCGACGAGGAAGAAGGTCGACCTGGATCTGCCGGAGGGTGCGGACGCGGACGAGGCGGCGAAGATGAGAAAGGCAGTTAGGGCAAGGGAAAAGTTTATGCGTCATGCTGGTTTAGCAAGCGAGTTCAACTTGGGTTAAAGAGGATAGAGAAACTCGGGCCTACTAGATTTAAAAACAAAGTTATATTATTTGAATAATTACTCAGCGCCGAGTAACATGTCCCTTCATGTGTCGTCCCTTAAAGTTTCCACCGCCCCCATCGAACAATCCTTAATTTGAAAGACAAACACACGACTACACATTGTTACTCCAGCGCTCATGACTCAACCCCTCCTCCTTCCTACAAAACAAACCCCGAACTCTATCCCATGCCTTCCTCACCCTTGCCCCAACCTTTGGCGTCCCTGCAGCCCCCACATACTCCTCCTCACTGTTCAAATCCAGCACACCGCAGCATCGTCGACTCGCAATGCTGACATGCCCACACCTTATATCAGAGCGCTCAACACGCTGCACAGGCAACATGTGTGCGGTCTGTACTCCCAACGTCTCAGTCGTGGTGAAGGGGTAAGGATCTGTTTCCCTAGTGCGCTGGGTACAAAGGCTTCCGCTGCCGTCTTGGTTGCGCGGGTCGTCAAGGTAGGAACGGTCTAGACTGAAGGCATCTCCACTCATTGTCTGGCAACAGCGGGGGAAGGGTGAGAGTTGGGGGCGGGACTGGGAGCGCTCGGCCCGCTCGTCGCTTTCAGGTAGGGAATTCAGCTGGTGGGGTTGTGCTTGCAGGTTTGCGTCTAGTACGCGTAGGAGAGCGGGTATGTGTGGTGTGGGTGAGGGAGATGGTTGTTGCTCGGGTGAAGGGGTATTTTGTCGCTTGACAGTGTATATTTTAAGAGATGATTGGGTTGGGGGTAGTGCACCTGGAGGACTTGTTAGTATATGGCTGGCTATTCCTTGAGGGTGAGCATGGTGAGGCTTGCTTTTTGCTTTGCGGTGCTGTGCATAGTTCTTTGCTGGGGCGGACGTAGGAATCGGCGTGCCTGCTCTTTCTACCTTCCTGGCACTACGTCGCTCTGCCTTTACCTCTTCTTTCTTACCAGCTTCCTCCACATCATCCAGAGTGCTCCGACTTTGCATCACAAAAGGCGGCTTGGAAAGGTCCCATTGTAGATCCGGGGCATTCATCAGTACTGGCGTCTTTCTTCCTTTCTGTGGTCCCAACACCTCTTCTGCGTCCACGGTATGGGGAGTCTCATTAGCCTCTGCTTTACGCTGGCGTGGATATGGCGTCTGAGGCCTTGGGGGAATTTGCGAGTTTCTCGCTCTGATTGATCGGCCATCGCCTTTGGAAGAGGTTGCGCTTGCAGGCCGTGAGGAAGATTGGGCGGTCTGACTGGCGAAGCGCACGCTATTGTGTGGTGAGTCTCTGTTTGAATTGTCTACTGACACTGGTGTGGTGTCTTCAATATCCCATAGTTTACTATAGAGAGCCTCATAACTGCTCGGTGATTGGTGGTAATATGAGGATTGGCGTGAAAGCTCCGACGCATCTGGTGGGGTACGGGCTGGGCTAGGCAGAAGGCCTATTCCTGAATCCATGGATGGTCCCTCTTCAAAATATTGGGCTGAGTAAGGCGGAGACATGACGTGCAAAGGCTGGTTGATTGTGCTGTAGGTTGAAATCTTCTTAGTGCAAACGGGAAGTGTGAAGCTAGCTCTGTCCTGAAAAGGTGCTGAAGGGGATGTGGACTGAAATACAGCACGTTGAATATTGGAAAACTTGTGAATAAAGCAGCCCTCGAGGTCAACCAAGGTTCTATTCCAACTGCATGCTCTGGTTACTATTGCACTGCCGCATTACCCTCCATGTCCCTGACTGGTTCCTCAGGAACCGCATAAATGGGCACCTGACGGCTCGGACTCCCTAAGGGAATCTCTTTTCCTTGCATCGAATTGTCGGATTTCAGAGTATGTATCGGCGACATGCTATTCGCTGCTTCACCTTTTGCTGGCATAGTGGCTGGCGCTGATTGGCCATCTTCGTATGGATTGTGGGGATCGTAGCCTGATAGATGTGTACCTGGGGAAGCATGATTCGATATGGGTTCTTGAGAGGGACCATCGGTACCATTCGCCGTGATCTCGTTTCGCGATCCTATGCGTTGTCCGTCTGCAGGCGTGTCTTGCCCAGAACGCTCCTCATCGTCTGTTTTGGGCGTGGCACGTTTTTGCCGCGCTCGTGCAATCAAATCATCGAATTCTGTTCTATGCGATTTCGCATACCCTTCGCCGTCAAAGTCTTTCTTCATAATCGCACTCTCCTTGTTGTTCGATCTACCGCCCTGGGTCTGTTCCCACTCGTCTAATTCTTTCAATAACTGCCTGTGACTCTTTCTCAGACTATCATGGGCGTCGCAGTTCGAATTAAAGATATTGATCCACTCTATGTGTCGCCTCCTCATTAGATCTTTGGTGCCCCAATTGGGAATGCCGATTTCCTGGAGCTTTTTCCGCAATGCGGTCTCTTTCATCATAGCATAGTTGAGTTGCGATAATCTTATTGGCGGAGGCGAAGGGTCTTTCTTTCGTGCCTGTAACACGGGGAAGGCTGGTTTTCTTATAGGAAAAAGATCAGTCTCCTGCTATGCGAGGCTACATCGCTCTTAAACATACCTTGACCTAGTATTGCGCGGCGACGCATTGGGCCCAGTGCATGTGTCGAGGTGGTTGTAGACCAGCTCCTCCTTCATGGCACGATTGCAGACTGGGCACTTGACCATGCCATCCGGGACAAAATCTTCGTCACCGTCATCTTCGCTATCAGCGACTACAGCAGGCGATGCTGCTCTGTCTCCATTGCGCTGACTTTTGCTCCGGGTTTGTCGAGACCGAGTATGCCTGACATTCTCGTCCTCCTCTATATCCGTGTCCTCCATTTTCCTCTTCTTTCTGCGGCCGCCCTTAACTTCCTCGTCTTTGTCGGCACGCGCTAACTCCAGCGCTTTCGGCCTCGCCTCTTGAAACCGCATTACTACTTCCCTGACCGCAATATTTGGTAACAATTTGTCGCTGGAGCATCCTGTCTTGCAGCTCGGACATTTCCCATCTGTCGCAATACATCTTCGTATACATATCGAGCAGAATGTGTGGGAACAGGGCGTGATGACGGGGTTATGGTAGAACTCCTTGCAGACCTCACAGCGCAAGGCAGCTTCGAGCGGTTCGAAGGTGGGTAAGGACGTTTTGATCCAGTCGGTGGAGTCCGGAAGATCGAATGAAGAGTCCATGGGTCTATTGCAGACAGGAAGCGCCTGGTTTGAGCGAATGTTGACAGGCAGACAAGTTTGGCCAGGGTTAGACGCGACTCCAGTCGCGTATGCGTCATCACGTGATGACGCATGGAAATTAGCTGCCTTATCCTTGCCACTTGTCGGCCGGGGTTCAGCAGTCAGTGGTAGAGTAGGTTGCTTTGTAGTGATATTGCGCCTTTTCACCATGGTTGTGAATTTGGTATGCTAAACAAGGGGTTGTATTACTTGTGAATACCTGAGCTAAAAAATTCGTGTGAGAGAGGAAAGTGTTCAATACCAGCACAGGCGCATCATGTCAGAACAGAGGCAAGCGCTCATTGTGTCTCTCCTTCACTCTTTCAATCACTGGACAATCAAGAGACTCTTGGTTTGATATTAACTTCGATCTGGTCTTCATGGCCACTCGATGCTTTCTCTGCATTCAATTGTCATCTGTCAATCTGCTCAACGCCAGACAATCGCATTATTTGGTATTGGCTGCAGGCGAATTCAACTCTTCTTCTGCCAATTTCTCATGCCATATCCATACACAATATCAACCGCATTTTCTGCAACTGAGAGCGAGGATGAACCCGTGTCTTCGCAAAATCTGATGCGACATCGCCATTCTCTGAAACGATAATCTTGCTGTAACTTACTGTTCGTTGGTTGCAAACCTGAGGGCATTCATGGCACTATGCATAAAAACAATAGGATGCTTCCTTCAAACTCTGAATACCGTGCTCTTGCTCTTGATGCCGTCGAAAACACAAGTGTTGTCGACGGGGACATACTGCTCAGTGATCACCTTGATGATCTCCTGTGAGACCATACCACCCGCTAAAGCGCCAATATTGTGCAACTCAGCACCACCAGCTCGCACACTGTCAAATAGTCAGTTTAGTGCCCCCCATCACCGTCCAGACGTCTTTGGAAGAGAACTGTCTGACAATAAGTTTGGTGTTGCCAAGTATACTTACAGCTCACGTGCATAATCTCCAATTTGTGATCGAATGGTTGCATACTCGTCCTCTTCGATTGAAGCATTCGCTTCTTTAATCAGATCATCAGCGATCTTGAGAGCAATTCCAATCAGCTTTTCTGAATCCGCATCCAGGTCGCTTTCTCCGGCAACTTGAGGCGCCCCTCCGAAACCGTCTTTGTTGTGCGTCGCAGCAAACTCATCCCAAGCTAGGAAGGCAATGTACAACGGGATTTGTGAGTCGGGGAAGGTGAGCGTTTGAGCTTTGGGTTGTTAGCTCAATCGACAGTCTCTCATATCTGCACACTTACCAATTGACTTGGCGCGATCGCCCCATTTGATCTTCTCGCCCGCTTGTACTATGTGAAATGGTCGACCACGCACTAGTTTGATGTGGGCTGCGTTCTTGCAGAAAGTCTCAATGTCCTTCTCGTCAATAGGCTCACTGCGGTTAGCATTGCGCTCCAAAAATCGTACACTCTCCACTACTTCTGCTAAGTCGCGCCGCGCTTTGGACTTGTACACATTCTGCAACTCGATGTAGTCTGCTGAGCGAGCCTTCATGTCCGGTACAGAGCCAGGGACTGGTAGGACATTGTATTTTGTATAAAACAAGCCAATGGCGTTTGCAATAACCCAGAAGCTTGGTGAGTCTTGGCGAACCAGAAGGCACTCTGGCGCTGTAAAAACCTCCTTGACGGCGCTGCTTGCTTGTGGTGGATTGAGAGACTTTAGAACAGCTGCCACTGCTTCATCAAAGTTCTCTTCGCCGCCTTCTGGGTTGTCTGTGCGTGCAGCTTGTGATACGGAAGTCCTAAATTCTGTCTTCTCCTTGTAAGTCTGTGGTACCTCCCCCCCATGTTCCTTCTTCCATTTTTCTAGGTAGTGCAGCAGAAGTGCTATCCATGGCACGTGGCCATGGTCTTCAGCCTTCATGTTTTCTAGGTCGGCCGTCTTCTGTTCTGCATACTGTACTAGCTCTTGCCACGGCTGTATTAGTCGTAGGTCCGATGTGGTTTCGGGATTAGGGTGTGTGTCCACGATGGGAAACGCGGGGGGCAGGTGGACGGAGAAGTGAGCGTAGAAGCCAACCGAGTGGAGATAGAATAGCGGAACGAGCGTAGCACTTGCATGGCTAGACAGCTTTGCGAGAACATCGGGACGGATAGGCGCGGTCGCAATGATCAACGAGTATGGTTGCAGGACGTTGGGCTGTGATAACCACGACTCGATAGGCTGGGTCCATTAGCAGAAGATCAGAGACGAACTGTAAAGCGTGGTTGTACCTCTGTGATGAAGTGACCCTGTACATCTGGATTCAGCTCCTTGAGTAAATTACACGTGTGTTCTGCACGGAAGCCTCCCAAGTGTTGGTCTTCCAGGAAGAAATTCACGCCTAGGTCTGCTTCATTGACGACGGCTGAGTCTTGAATAGTGAAGTCGCCAATGCATGGCAGAACGAGGTTTTTGAGTGTTTCCACGCCGACAACTCCCGGCCCTGAGTTTATGAGGAGAATATGGGAGCTCTCGAGCGCAGCTTGGCCCGTAGCTCCCCATAGGCGTAGCTGACGATCGTACCTATTGCGGTCAGTACGTGGTAATGCCGTTCAGCAGCAATGAGGTGACACACTTCTTCTCCTTGGCAGTTGGACCTTGTACGGGAGGAGGGAGGTCTGCCATTCTCACGGATGTTCTTTTCTTTTCTTTTTCTGGTAGTGGCTAAGAGAAATGGCAGAGGGATGTTTGTTACCGCTGTTAGAGCTGCCAGGCACCGGACGCGCTTGAGCTGTCGGCTCGCGCTAGGCGTGACCCCTGCCGCGGGGTATTCCAATGGCGGGGCACAACAGCGTCATCTTTCGCCGCGCGCCCCATCACCTTGTCACGAGCAAATCATACACTTGCATCCTTCGGCATCAGCTAGACTCATTGCTGAAGGTCTCAGACTCTCAGCTACCTTGTACATATAGGCCTAGAGGAAGGCTAGCGAACGCATGCCGGCTCATGCCCTGGAGACCTCCTACCATCTACACTGCCAGTATAAATCAGCAAGCCCGCAGCATCAGTCATCTCAAGCCTCCACTGCCCCTCCAAAATTTATCGATTCCTAGATTAGCTATACATCCATCCTGTTTCTACACCACCGGCAAATCTCTTCTACAAAAATCGCTCCGTCAACCCAGTCCGCCATCTCCAAGGCACTTCCATAACACTACATCACTCCAAACCGCAAAAACCATGACCGACACAAACGTCGAGGCTGCTAAACGTGCGGCTGCACAACAGGCCGTAGCGGACCACTTTGACCCGGCGGCAACCCACGTTGGAATTGGATCCGGCACCACCATTGTCTACGTCGTCGAGGCCATCAAGCAGCGATCGACCAACCCCAACATTCTCTTCGTCCCTACTGGCTTCCAATCGCGCCAACTAGTCGTCAATGCCGGCCTCACTGCCATCTCCTTTGACAGTCTCCCCGACCACGTCATGCTCGACGTGGCATTTGACGGCGCCGACGAAGTCGACGCAGAGCTCAACTGCATAAAAGGAGGAGGTGCGTGTCTGTTCCAGGAGAAGCTAGTCGCAGAGCGCGCCAGAAAATTTGTTTGCGTCGCAGACTACAGAAAAAGACAGGACCGTCTCTTGACAAACTGGCCCACCATCCCTATCGAGGTCGCGCCCCTGTCTCAGCTCAAGGTCGCCGGTGCGCTCAGGATGCTGGGATCAACAGGCCCTAAACTAAGGACAACGCTACTGGAGAAGTCAGGACCCCTGAAGACGGACCAGGATTTTTACATCATTGATGCGCCTTTTCCTCCGTTGCTTACATCCGCGGATGTAGCAGCGGGTAAAGGAAAGGGCGACGGCACGGACGGTACGTGGGAGGTCAACACTCTGAGCAGGGCCATCAAGGGCCTTACCGGTGTCCTCGAGGTTGGCATTTTCTCGGGCCTGAACGGCATCGATGCACAGGCGCTGCGTGAACAGGACCAAAGCACAAAGACTGTCCGCGGTGGCCAGAAGCCCGTCGCCGTCTACTTTGGTATGCAAGATGGAAGCATCAAGGTGCGCACTATCGAGGGCGAGACATAAAAATAAAGCTTGAGCGCGGAGAATTTTTTGGCCAAAACACCGGGCTAAGTGGTAAAATGACGGCCGTGATCTACAGAGCAAATACATTTTCTGTTCTTCCTTGACTGACTACCTGCAATGACGCACACTCTCTCCCCTTGGTATCTCCCCCCATACACAGCGCAGCTTCAACATCACAGCAATAATTCAAAAGGCAACACATATTTTGTCATGGTCATATCAAGCATGATTCATTCATATCTGTGCCAAAAAAAGGTTAGAAGAAGAAGTGAAGGAGAAGAAGAAGAATATAAGACAAAAGAAGTCTGCTCCCTATCCTACATTCCATTCCTTCCCATCCAAAAAAGAACAGAGTCACTCAAAGGACTCGCGAACAACAAAAAAGTGTCGCAGAAAGGTAAAGAAAAAGGAGAGAATTTTGTTTTCCGTCGCGAAGCCCCTCCCAATGTCCAAAATCGCCAATAATATGGCGTTGGTGTGTGAACGTAAACCTGTTTTCCCCTTGATCTCAACTCCAAAAGCCCTTAGGTCGTAGATATATACGTCTTCAGTCACCGACAGAGTTTAAATCTGGTGCAGACGCCTCCTGGGGTGAAGATGCGCGCGCTTCATGTAGCTCCCCGAGCTAGGCGTAGGCGAAGCAGTAGGAGCAGGAGCTCCCTCAGTAACGTAGACAGTGGTAGTGACGATGACGAGGTCAGTCACGTAGACGCACCTGTATCCCTTGGGGCAAGGGGGCTGGGTAGGCTTGGGTCCACCGGCCGACGAAGGGGCAACGGTGATGGTGGAGATGGGGGCTTTGCTGAGGGTGGTGGGCTGCTTGGTGGGGGCGGGAGGAGGAGCAGCAGGGTAGCTGGTGGGCTCCATGAAAGGAGGGCTTTCGTACTCGTCGTAGGCTGGGGCTGCGGGCGCTTCAGGGGTGGGAGTGGGCTTTGGGGCCTCGGCGGCGGGAGCGGGCTTAGCGGGCGCGGGCGCAGGCTGGTACTCGGAGTCTTCAGGCTTGGTTTCAGGCTTGGGCTCGGGCGTGGACTCGGGCTCCTCCTGCTCCTTTTCGGATGAAGGCGCTGGCGTCTCCTTGGATGGCGAGGCAGGCTGGACCTGGTTGGGCATGATGAGGCCTACATCAATGGACTTCTTGGCTGGTGTAAGGTCCTTGCCCTTGTTGGGAGGCCCGACCCAGTTGCCAGCCTTGCATTGCGCACCAATGTCGGTGCACTTGTCCTGCCAGAGCTTGCAGTTCTTGCCACCAGTTGGGGGTGCGGAGTCGTAGCATACATCGCTCTGAGCCCAGCAGTCCTCAGCGGCAGCCCAGCATCCCTTCTCATCGGTGTAGGACTGGACTTCCTTGGCACACCAGTTTGCGTTCTCCATGACACAGCCCTGGGGCTTGATGCCCTTGGTCTGGACAGTAGCGGAAGACTTGCTCGCGCCAGCAATGAGCTTGGCGACCTTGGGGCCAGGTACAACATACTCGGTAGCAGGGGTGTTGTAAATGTCAAAGCTGGTTGAAGGCTCGTTGTACTTGACGTATCCGGGGATAGACACAGTGGACTCGGGAACGAGGTTGCCGGAGCTCTTGAGGAAGATTTGGGCACAGCCAGTGTAGAACTGTGGGTCACCGTCTTTGGCAGCATGGAGAGCAAGAATCTCGGGACGAGCGAGGTAGTCGCCTTGCAAAAGATTCTCGGGCAGTTTGACGGACAAAAGGCCATTGTTGGCAATGATCTTGTCAGTGCACCATTGCTTGGAGTCAGCGTCATAGCCGTGGTCAAAGATCTTGAACCAGCCATCACCAGCAGCAGTGTCAGTGGTGGCATCTGTAACCTTCTTCAGGTAGACGGCGCAAGGACCCTTGTGGCCGGGATCAAGGCGCTCCTTGGATGGGTCATCGGGCCACTCGCGAATCTCAAAGGTAAGAACGGAACCGTCTGGGACCTGCTGGGTACGCGAAACTCCCTTGGTACCCTGGACATCTAGCAAGTCTGGTCAGCCATGGTGCGCTAGGGGAGCACCAAGAGAAAAGGGACATACTGCAAGCCATGTCAGTGCTATCAAGACTGCCAATAGGGGAGCTAGTGTGCTCTCCAGAAGGGTTCATGCGAATAGCAACACCATCACCCTGACAATTGTTAGTATAAGTCGCATTCAAACCAAAAAACACCATGTACCTGAGCAAGGCCACCAACGTAAAAGTCAGTAAAGACAGTGTGGGCAAGGGCAGCAGGGGCTGAGGCCAGGGCCGCAAGAAGGATAGATTGGGTCTTCATGGTATTCGATGTTCAACAGTTGACTTGAAGGGCAGAAAACAACGTGTTATTTGGTAGTAACAATCGAACTGAAGTTGGTCACTAGGACTCAAGGTAATGAATGAATGTGCCGAGCTAGCGACAAGTGAAGGAATGAAACAGGCCACAAAGAGCCTTCGAAAAAGAGAGACAGACAACAAGTTTGGATTTTGAGTCCTTGTGGGGTGAGGAAAGGAAGAGACGGGGATGACGGGGCCTTTTTACTCCTTCCTTCACACCCGCCCGCTGAGCCTAGGCCGGGTGATGGGCATGGGCGGATGAGTGATTTCCACCCGGTTGCTACCTGCGGGCGGCACATGCCCTTGGCGCCCTTGGAGGCCCTGCGACACGTCTGCCGAGCGTTGCAGCGGAGTGTTATTATTTTCCTTTAGGAGTGACGCTTGGTTGCGCAGGATGCAGTCAGCCTCGAGCCCTGTCGGCCACTAAGCTGAGAGATGAGGTTGTGCTTCTGAAACATGAAACACAAACGAAGACTATTAGCGAGTGGCCTAGTCTATATTCCGCAATGGTTTGCCCGCTAGGTGGCGTCCTTGCAGACGACGCCAAGTCAGGTACCAGGCCTCTCATTTCAACTCTCTCGCGCCATCGCCCCTCGTATACGGTCATTGCCAGCCCCAAGGCGTGTCGAGGCGCCGCTTGTATAACGTCAGGAGCGGGGGCGGTTATCGATATAGAGCAGCTGTGTTCTCGCGCCGCGCAGATCCAGTCCTCGGGGCGCGCGCTAGGGACTTCAGGTTGCTGTCGACTTTTTTTGGTTCAGGAGGTCTTGTTATATTAACGTGGCGCTTGCAGAAGGGGAGCCCACATCATCGCTGCTCAGGCCGACTCTCATTTCGCCAGTCCTCCTCCCCATCGCAAAGATCCGTCTGTCACGCTAACAGAGAGGCCGGTCCTTGAATTGATTGCTATCCCCGCTTCCGACGGCCGTGTTGGTGGCCAAATTTGCGCCTCCTCCTTTGCTCGATCGAAAAGTAATGACATCGCCAACCCCCTCCTGATTTCTTGGGTGCAAACAACGATAATCGCGGTTTCATCTCCTTCTACGACATGCGCCTCCAACTCCGGGTAACCGCTTGCTTAGTTTTCTTTTCCCATAGGCATGCAGGGGTTGGCGCTCGTATTGCCCTTCACCCTGAGCCGTGGCGCCGTAGTGACTAAAATGCTCGACATCGCGGACCGTTGGGGGGAACGACGGATGCAAACGTTGATTCTTCTAGTAGCCCCTTCAATGTCCCATCTTCGCACGAGGAAGCTGACATGTCGATTGCTCGTAACACCCCACCACACCACTTGTTCCGAACACCAAAATAACTCGATCTTCCGGTTTCCCGAGCCGCCGAGCATTCGGGTAATCGCCCAAACGTGGTTACGCTCGAAAACGGGTCTCGCCGCTGCAAAATCTCCAGATGTAAGCTGCGCAAATGAATCCGAACTTGTGCCACCACTAGAAAAGCAAATTCGGCCATATAACACGTAGTTCCCTATTGCACCTCTATGGTACCCAGAAAAAGATTACATTGGCTCGGAAGAGTAAATGACGTGACTACTCAGCCATACATGGGTGGCTTGTACAGTGATGCGTGGGGTGCCTGCTGGAATCCATTGGAGACGCCGCGAGGTATGCTGGGAACAGGCTTTGGTAGACCGCTCTCTTCTTCCTCTGCTCTGTCCAGCACACCTTTGATAATTTCCCTAAAGTCCGCTGAGCTGCGGAACTTGGGCGGTATCTCACCATACACACCGGGCTTCGCAACCCTTCGAGTGGCCCACTTGACATCTGTCACCTTGATCCCATATACGTCTCGAAATGATAATTTGCAAAAGCGTATCTCCACCCCCTCCGAGAAGGCCATGCCTTCTCGCTGTTGGTTGAGACAACACACTATCGCTGGCTCAAAGGGATGGTGTGCATACGTAATCCCCATCTCGTTGAGGCCTCGTTCAACAGCACTAATCAGCCACCGACTGCCTCTTTTGGTAAGAAAGTGCAGCTTCTTAGAGTCGCCTAGCGAGTTGGTAGGTAATTGGCGATCGTAGAGGGATCTAGACAGATGACCTGCAAGCCGCACCGTGTTCATGTAGCGGTCTAGCTGCACAGCGTCTGTAGGATGGAAAAGCGGATCCCATGGAAGTGGCCAGGTGCTGAGGGATATCAGGGGTCCCACGAGAAACCCTTCGGACAATCTAAGTTCGTATCTCGATCTCGGTTCGAGATTGTATGTTGGCCGTCCCATGGACATCGCTGGGATTGACGTGGTGCTGGTAGATCTGGCCAATTCATATACGCTCTTCTTGACATTCATCATCAACTTGTTCTTCTCCACAACATTTGCCGATGGAAAGATACTGGTCGGGTCAAGATTAAGGTTGAGAGTGGCCTCGATGCGCCTGAACCCGAACAGCCAGTGATCGATGAGTATTATCTCAGTTGCCACTCGTCGGGTACGTTCGCTGGTCGCTCCATAGCGGCCTATGGATCCTTCATAAGCAACACTGTAGGCGAGCATGGCGTTTGCGTGCTCTTGGGTATGTAAACAAATATCTCCTAGCCATCGCGCAGCAGCTATGTCACCATCATCCAGATTCTCGTGATCGAGAAAGGTCCCGTTAAAGACGCTTTCAAAGAGCTCTTTTGCCTTTGAAAACTTTCCCGTGAACGATGCGCATACTCCGAGTAGATGCTTGAGAATGCGACGATCAGGTTGAGTACCAGATATACACCTCTGTCCGCGGTCGACAGCTGCTAACTGGTCCTCTAGGTGCTTTTCTGCACTGACGAAGTCGTGGCGAGCCCATGCAGCCACCGCCTGATGAGCCGTCCAGTTAAGATCTATCGTAATAGATGTGCCTTTCTCGAAATATGATGGGGGCAAATCGTTGCCCAGTGGAGGAGCAGGATCAGAGGGTGTTTGTGTTCCAGAAATAGGCAATGATGTAAATAGTGCTGGGTCAGGACTGTCAGGATTCGTCGCCTGGAGCGACCCGCTTGCACGAGGAACTGGCACACGTGGAATTGGAATGGTATGGGTCCGAATGGAGGGGGTGGTAACCGCTGAGCGATGTGGCTCTGCATATAACGAAGAGTTGTCTGAATCAGTGTCCCGTGGCATGTTTGGCAACGATGTAGCGGATTGCGCTTGTGAAGCCACCGAAAGAGTTGAGCTCATATGGACCTGTGGTATCGGTGGACGGGGTATGGGAGGAGGCGTTCGTGATGGTGGTGACAAACTGCTTTCCATAGGCGTGACGATTGTGAGCATTTCAAGGCCACTGGATGATTCCCCAACATTAATTTCAGGAAGTACTGGTCTGAGATCTTGCGACATTGAGGAGTATGGTTCATGCTCCGGTCGATCTTCAAGAAGTCTCCCTTCATTCACCGCTGCGACGAGCCAGTCTACAATGACATCGCGATAGCCCAAAGCTTGCTGCTGAGAGATGCCGACATCTTCCAAATCGCGGATGATCTGGCGCCATGCCTCGTCGTCCTCATTATTGTCTTCCAGGGCGCCAGAAGTCAGTCGCTCAATTGAAGAAATGCTTTCTTCGCGATGTCCGCCTCTATAATCCTTTTCCAGTCTCTCCAAGGCCTCGAGTATCAGGACCTGGACATCGTGTATCAGGGAGGTGTAGAAGGTGTTGAGCATCGCCACGCTCGCAACAAGCCGCTCGCGCAAGTTTCGCAAAGTGGCTGGATCGAATTTAAGACGGTCCCAGGCACGCTTGCTCTTTGTGTCGAGCCCATTGTAGTGCAATAGGACTTTGTCGAGCTCTTCCAAGACCTCGATGCATGGTGTATACGCCTCGATAAGCTGTTGCTGCTTACTCTCCGGTATCTTATCGAACTTGTCTTGTATGTCGTCGAGGAGATTAGTGAGACTGCGTGTTTCACTTGTCAAGGTCTTGTACTCTCCAGGACAGTCGCGGCCTGCATTTCGATCAGCATACTATAAGTTTGCGGAGCTGCCAAAACAACTGACAGTTCTTGTATACCCTCCCCGCTAGTTCGCACACCTTGAGTATGTCTCCGATACTGACTCCAAAGCTCATCGTGTGCTAGCTGGTGGAATACCTCCACGCTGTACCTAGAAAACAAATGAAGCGCCGCATCACTGGACGTATCGCGAGGTATGGCTGGGTGGTTAAATCATGGACGGGGCTGAAAGGCTTGTCATTGTGGCTTGAAACGGAGGATTTGATTGGAATTGGGGGCGGAAAGAGCTCAGGTCGCCAATATTGTGTGATCACACGCATGCATGTGACCAAGCTGTAATAAGAAGACGTGTTGTGTAGCCCCATCACCACGCATATTTTGCACTGTCTTAGTCTCATAAATGTTATGGATATTCAAGGCCAGAGCGCCTGTGTATATCATGGCGGAGCGGAGTACAGTGCGACCCACAGCTGCCTGTATTGTCACACATTCACGACAGGCGCAGCTTATCTAAGCAAAACTTCGCCTCGGAGCACAACCATCTACTGGACGATACACTGGTTGCGCTACCCCAGACTAACTGAAGGTTGCACACCAAAACGGCATTGCTGACATTGGGGGCGGTAACGACGTCGCACCATTCGTGCAGCGTGGTAAGCCACCAAGTACAGCTTAACCTTGCGTCTGTCAATCTTCGAAGGAACCCTCGACACGTACCCGTTTTGTCTAGAGCACAGATAGATCATACTATGTGAGTATTCGGCAGAACACGCATCTCACCACTCGCATTCCTTTCACGCATACATCTACCCGACCCAACCAGCAGCGAAAACAAGAAGGCAAAGCAACGTATAATTTGTTCATTCGTGTACATATTCGTCACTGCCTTCCTCTCATCCTGTCCTTTTCCCCAAATAAATCGCTTAAATAGAAGAAAAATAACTTGCTATACACCAGAACGAAGAAAAAAACAAACGGGGTGTGTCCTCGCTAGATATACGGACAATCGAAATAATCAACGAGAGAAATTACAACAGCTCCTCCAGTGAGCCCAAGCCCAAAAGACGTAATTGCCAAAAGAGTATACACATGATGCCATCATTGATGAAAACACATCATTGGTACCAACTCTGCTCATCGTAGGTGAATCCTTGCAAACCCGCGTCATTGAGCCCCATGGCCCCAAACCCATTTACATTGGAATTATTGGCATTGCCGTTGAACCTCCCGTTGGGATATCCGTTAGCAGCGGCTATGGCACCATCATCACCACCCACTGGACCTCCGTTAATCTCATTGCCGGTCATAGGAGGAACATTAGTCGTAGGTTGGAAGACACCTGTAGGATTGGCTGTGCCGGCAAACCAACTTGCTATATCATCTACTCCTTGGGGGTTCCAATTTTCGAAATCAGTTGCAAGTTGTGCTTGATCTCGGTAGATCCAATCCTGGCCTTCGCGTAGTAGCTGATCAACACCACCAAAGAGCTGGCTTGGCGAGTTTCCAGCAGTGGTGTGACCGCCGTCGACGGATCGGCGTCCTTGTGTCGATGCTGGAGTAGGAGCGTTCAGGTTTGCCGAATAACTCTGGGGTGTAGTAGGATGTTGCTGAGTACGCATGTAAGCCAGAGCGTTTGGGTCCGAGGGAGGTAGAGAGTGGGTGCTAGAAGGACGGGCAGAAGGGTTAGAGCTTACGGAGCTATTATTTGCTATGGCTGTCCGGCTGTACATTTGTGGTCCTGTCATGTTGGCCATGTTCGTGCTGTATGGTTGGAGACTCGGTGAAGCCTGATCCGCTGGTGAAGGGTGCTGGTTGGTCTGTACCGATGCGCGGCGCTGTGCTTTTGGAGTGCTAACCTCATTCCAGGGACCAAACTTGGCATCAGTACGGGAAAGCACTGTAGCAGCTTCCTCTGGTAGCTCAACGTTCCAGCGCTTTGCCAGTACGCTGAGGATGCCAAGCGTTCGTCGGGCGCACAGCCATCCTTCTGCTATCTCCTCCAGATGCTTGACACCGTGGATGATGTCGCGCTTTGCGTTCTTCTCGGGTAGATTGAGAAGATGTATTGTGCACGCAGAGTGCGCGATATATACGCAGATGTTGCATATCTGCCGCAGGCCATGTGATCGCTTGTATAACCGTAGTAGTTTGGAAATCATGGCAGCAGCCTGGGTACAGAGCTTTCGGGGAGAGACATGGGCAGGAAGTGGTGAATTGTTTGGGTTGTATTTTAGGAATGGACGAAAGAGATGGATGTAAAGCAACTGAAAGAACATGCTACACAGTCATTAGTACAAGTTGATAGCGACGGTGGATAGTGCTGCTTACTGCATGACAAGCATATGGGGCAAGCCACCCTCTTTCGGCTCTAGCTCTTTCGGGAGCTCCCGTCTCCACGTCTCTAACCTCATGTGTATCTCACTGAGCTTCTTCAACTCTGCCTGCCTTCCCTTGGCCTTGCCCATGTCAATGGGGTTGTAGAAAGCATTCATCAAGTCGCTAGAAATCTCGCAGAGCTTTGAAATTTGGAGAGCAACTGCGCGCGTCCTACTGGGCTGCGAATGTGCTTGACTTAGGCCAGAGTCTGTGACTGCGCTCCAGGTCTCTGCATCCTCAACAGGGAAGACGTCGAATTTGGGTACTGTTAGAATCGTGTTGGGCAATTGCGGCAATCTCCCGAGGTAGTTGCTCCAACATTTGTCAAACAAGAAGCAGCCCCAGAATGTGATCCTTCGTGCATCCTCCTCGTTCTCATCAATGACATCCTTGCTATGCATGCCCAGATTGAGGCCGAGATCGCATGCCATCCGGAAGGACATGCCGCTATACACCCAGCCTTTTGCTTCCCGCCCACAGCCCGCTTCGCGTACGGACATCAAGGCTAGAGCCTGCACTGTTGTCAATGCAGGGACCTCGTGCAAATCGTCCTCCATAATCAGTCGCTTGGCCTCCCTGAAGAAATGGTCTCCAGCCGTTGCAGAATCATCGCGTATAGCCCTAGCAGCAGGCCATGATGTGAAGTGACATCCGAGTGCCAACATGGCGTTGACTAGCAAGGGCGAGCAGTACTGATTCTTCCTTCCAGATCCGGGCAGCGGTTTGCCAAGCCTAAACTCCTGCAGAAACAAATTCTTGGACAGGGTTGTGAAGAAGCTGTAGTGCCAGCAAAAGTACATGCTTATCAGATGCTGCACCAGCTCCGGGTCCGAGGTCACGGTGGTCCACGAGCAAAATGGGTCCTGCGCCTCTTGGAACTGGTCGTCCGAATACGTATCGGGTGAGTCGACGGTGTCATTGCCCTTGCCCAGGTAGATGAGATGCGACGTTCCGCCAATGTATCTTGTAGATCCATCCTCGAGCCGCAGCTCACCCATCTTGCCGCTCAGCTGGCTCTCAAAGCTTCCCTCTGGAGGCGCCGCTGCGGGCGATGTGGTCGGACTGAGGGGCTCATCGTCATCCTCTTCTCCATTCTCCTTGGCGATGATGGCCTCAGCGACCGAGTCCAGGCTCTCACATGTGCGAATCTGCTGGACGAGGTCTGCAACTGCGTCCTCGGGATAGTTGAGAATGGCCTGGATGAGGGTCTGGAGGGTTGAGTTGCGCGTTTTGAGGTTGTCAATGTCCTTTTTGTAGACGCCCTTGCGGCGGTGGTCCGAGTTCGGATCGTAGATGCATGGCGTGTTGTAAACGGCGGCACAGGCCGAGCAGGCTGGTGTGGTGCCGTCGCACTGTTTCTCGGATTAGCGCACGGCTGGCGACAGGAGGCACGAGAGCGACAAGGTTGGTGGCCAGGCGGAGAAGGAGTACAGAGGCCGGAGAAAGGCAGTCGAGCAGAGCAGTTCCCGTTACCTAAGACGAGGTACGTACCTTTGACTTGCGCTTCCTGCAGGGCACACAGGCGGAAGAAATGCACCTCCTCTTCTTCGAGTCGTCGCTCCCGGCGTCCCGTTTCCCTCGTCGTCCCTTCTTGGCGGGCGTATCCGTGGTCGGTGGTTGCGCTTCCGCCGTGCTGGTGTTCTCCATTACAGTTCTTGGGAGGTTTCCCGGAGATGCAAGATGCGGGGGGGATGGTGGGGCGCACGCTCCGACGGGCCCTTCAGTCAGCGCGCGACATTAATCAGCGGCCCGCGAAAAGCTGTGGGCTTGCCGTCCTCCACGCCTCTGTAAGTACTGCGCCCTCACCATGGCCGGCCAAGCAGGGGCGAGTAGTATGCGCGTGCAATCGATAGCACAGGTATCGCATTGGGGCGGGGAAGACGCGACGCCTGCCTTTGCCAAGCGCCATCGCTATCATCTCGTCTCTAATTGGCCGCCCCTCGCCTCTTATCTACATTCTCCCTCTGCACCCGCGCCCATCGACAAACACGTCCATGCCTGCAGGAGGAGGCGTCTGAGAAAAAGAACAATGACGTGCCACGGCACGGCTGGCAGGAAGGCCTTCGGCTCGAATCGAACTTTTGTTGGCACCTATCCACTAGAGAAACTCCGATGGCTGATAGGACAGCTTGAAGGTTTGTAGGCAAAAAAGCAAGTCCCTTCCATCAACCAGGCTCCCACACACCCCATGAAACTCAAGATCCATTCACGATCCAGACCCCTACGCCATTCTCCAAAATCAATTATTCGCCCTCCAAGTCTTGTCCTCATGGCTGCCAAGCCTGCTGCTCTTACGGTATCTCGAGGTCTTCCTCTACCTCATCACTCTCAGCCCCATTCATCTCAGCGCCAAATAGTTCCATCAACCTCTCCAAATTCATGCTGCAAACTTGTTAGTCTAAGAATATCCCCAGTAGAAGAAAACATACCCTTGGACCGGCTTGCCCCCTTCTTCCATTACGCATCCAATCTCCTCTTCTTTGCGTTCTTGAATCTTGACGATCTTACTATCGATCGTCTTCTGGACACAAAAACGGGTCATGAATGTCTCTGCTTGTTGCCCAATGCGGAATACACGGCAGAAAGCTTGTTGCTCTCTAGCAGAATTCCACCAAGGATCAATAAAGATAACCTTTGAAGCCATAGTCAAGTTAAGACCCACTGCAAGATCATTAACATATACACTTGTAACAAAGAGGCTGCCGCAGTTATGAGTACTTACAGCCGCCACAGTGCATGCTTGCCAGCATGATTCGAATATCGCCTTGTTCGGCAAACGACCGAATGGCATTATCGCGAGCGGTAAAACTCATCTTGCCGTGGTACTGTTTTGGTGGTCAGCAATCTGAACTTCCAGAGCATTCGACAACGGCTTCATTGTCGTTCCCAAGCTACCGCTGATGGCTCCATTGTATGCGTAACAAGTATTCACTCACCTGAACGCTCTTCCAGCCTTCGTTCTTGCAAACGCGCCTTAAGATCTGAACCCTGCAGCTTGTCAGTGCGGGTCCAGAGAGTGTGCATCTGACCTACATAGCAAGAAATTGTGTATAAACAATAATCTTGACGTTCGGGTTCTCCTTGATCCAGTTCATAATCTGCGACTTGACTGCAATAGTTTTTGCAGAAGGAAGGACTTGGTCGTTGAGAGAAGCGAGCCAGTCATTCGGAATAACCTCATGGTAGGGGCGTTTGCGTCCCTTGCCCTTCTTCTTCTTCTTCTTCTTATTATTATTTGATCGCGTGCCAGATGCAGGTCCATCTTCCGGGTCGGCTTCCACCTCGAATGCATGGACATAACTGGGTATTTTACCACAGCTGTTGCAAGCTCTATTCTCTTGCCCCTGCTCAGCACTCTCAACACATGCCTCTGAGTAACAAGGCTCCGCACAAATGAAATGGCCACATGATTGAATCATGGGCTGTCGTGGTTTGTTTCCGCAGGTGCTGCACTTGGTTTTTTCCTTAGCTCTTTCCCAGCTCTCGCCTTTTTGGAGACTGCTAAGAAAGGGCCCAAAGTTGTAATATCTGCCAAACTCGCCGCCGGCCCCGAGATGATGGGTTGACTTTGGTCCTTCTTCTCCTTCATCGGTCATGATGTCCTGGTCCTGATCTTCGGCCTCTTTGTTCGCCTCCGAACGAGTGTGCTTCTTTTTCTTCTTTTTTTCGTCTGCTTTCTTCTTATCATCCGCTATCTTTTGAAGCTGCTCTCGAACTGCAATTATTGTGCTGCTAGATTGAGTGTTACTATTAGCCGTATGCTGCTGAAGCACCCGTTTGATGCTCTCAATATCTTCCTGCTCAAGGAGATCCTGTATGACGAATTGAAGCATAAGAATATGTGCTGTTAGTTGGCGAAGTCTTAGATACAGTCTATATCTGTTAGTGATCCTAGCTACCAAACACGAAGAGGTTTGTTACGCACACTAGGGTGTTGCCATACGATTTTTCTGAGGCACCACCCTCCATCGCCGCGCTCATTCGCTCGATGAAGCGTTTCTCGACAATCTTGTATATACGGCGCTCAACTGGATTGAACTCGCACCAGTACGTAGCTTGATGAGCTTGAGGCAGCTTGAGAATGGGGGCTCCCATCATCTTATCTGAATGAGTGCGGCGCATCATGAACTGTGAGAGCCTCACCATAATCTTTTCTGGATTGTCGGGGTCGCAGTACTCCTCATCAAAGTTTTCAAAGTTGTCGATAAATGGAACGCCAAGGAATTTGAAGTAAGAATACATCTCAGTCAAGCTATTGAGAATCGGAGTTCCACTCAAAGCCCACTTGTGGTCAGCCTGTAGTGCGCGACAGGCAACTGATGTGAGCGACTGGTAGTTCTTGATGGCTTGGGCCTCATCGAGAACTATGCGTAAGAAACGTACTCGGTGCAGGGCACCTCTTTTCTGCTCCCAAGTTTCCATCCACCAGGCCTCCTCCTCTTCTTTATCTTTACAATCACTCGGCGGCTTATACTTGGGGTGTGATCTCATCACCTCGGTGTATGTGGTGAGAACAATATCATGGCCCTGCAGAAGTTCCAAGGACGCGTTAAAGTTATCACGTGTTCCAGCGCCGTACCGCATGATTGTCAGTTTGGCTGAGCTATGTTTTTCGATTTCACTCTTCCATTGAGTGAGAAGTGCAGGACTGGCAACAACGAGGGTGGTCTTGGGGCCTGGGCTATTCTTTGGTGGGCGACCATCATGGATGTTCGCTGTGAACAGTCAGTGTATTTACCCTGATTTCGTTTCGTGCGGTTACTACTCACCTAGAGCCATAAGCGTTTTGCCAAGTCCCATTTGGTCTGCCAGTATACCACCTCTTGGCTCTTCATCGCCATTCTCTCGATCGCGCATCCACCCACTGCCTATGAGCTGATACCCCTTCAATGATGTTTTCATGCCCTTGACTGACCATAGATTTCCTCGCTCGGCATCAGGTCTGACTGCGTTCCTGCTAAATTTCTTCGCTGCTTTTGTCAAGCTTGCTATATCATCTTTTGCCTGCTTCTCATCTTCGAGAGGCACACCAGCCAAAAGCTCTTTCATTGCCTTTTTTCGGTTTCTCGAGCTGAAGAACGGCTGCTCTGGTGCATCTGGCTGAGCTTGTTGGGCAAAAATGTCTGAATCCAAAAGCGAAGAGGCTTGCTTAGCCCCGTTGTTAATCATCTTCTGTTTCTTGCTCAAGCTTTTACCACTTTTAACGGCATTAGAAATGGCCTCTGCTCCTTTCTGTCTGTCCTTCTTTTTTTTCTTGTTTCTTGAATTATCCCTACGAGCCTCAACTGCGACCATCATACTCTGGAGTTCTGCATCTTGCATACAAAATCTCTTGGGAGCGCGAGGTTGAACAAAATCGGTATCAAATAGCTCCTCTTCCTCAACATTTTGCTCTAGATCAATTGTGGGGGGTACAGCTAGATTGACAGGATCATCTTCTAGAGCCTTGGCAATATCACGCGCTCGTTTCTTCCTTCTGACTGTTTCGGCGCTTTGAAACTTTGCCTGTTCGAGTTCCATTTCGAAAGGAAGGACTCCATGGTTGGCCTTTTTGACGTCGTCAAAGTACCGCATTCTCTCCTCGAATATTTCTGCTGCTCTCATGTCTGCTTTATCATCATCGTCAAGATGATATGATTCTGCGGGTGCAATGGGCTGTGGCAGGCTTGGCCCCCTTTGGAGAGTCCTTGGTCGCACCCTGTCTTTTATTTTCCGCTGCCTATTGCGCATTCTCTCACGCAGTTGGGCTGTGAATGTATTCGAAAGAGGCGCTGAAGGCGCTGGAGATGGTAGATTTGGTGGACCAGAGTCGATTTCTGGGATCAACAATGACTCTAAGGCGCTTGATGCAGTCGGGTCATCCTCTGAGACAGCTAATGGTCCAGAATTGCTTAGTGGAATGGGTTCGATTTCTGGGATGAACAACGAGTGGGGATCTTCGGGTGGGATAGAATCGCTTTCTGGACCGAACAATGAGTTGGAATCATGCTGGACATGTTCTTCTACATGAGATGGAGGTGTGTCGATCTCGTGTTGAACTTGGTCATCATAGTCGATCATGGCCTCATCGCCAACCTGCGCAGTTCCTGGAACTGAGGTCTGCACTTCAGTCATGTCGCTGTCGTCGTTGGTCCTATCGGGCTTACTCATGATGACTTGAGCTGTCAGCTTTGGTAAAGCGATAATGTACGAGCCTGAGATGGCTGTTTCAATGATACATACCGCTGTGTGGGTGAGATGGGAACACGAGTGGCGATGGAGCAGCTCTCAAGGATTGGAGCACGTACAATGACGGCTGGTCAGTAGGCTGAGTTACCGTATAGTTGTGAACTGGGTAGGATGGGGATAGGTGTGAGAACTGGTAGAAGTAATCCTGGCAACCAACCAGGCAAAGAAGAAGAGGTGTGCTGTGATTAGACAGAGATATGGTGCGAGAAAGAAGTTGTAGGAGTGTTATGGTGAAATGGAAGTGGTGTGATGAATTGGAAGATATAAAGTAAGATGATATAAGAAAGAAGAAGTGTGGTCATGTAGAAGAGGTAGAAAAACTAGTAGTAAAAAGAAGAAGAGTGGTTGTGTATGGAAGAAGATATATCCAAACCTAGCTTGGAGCAAGTTTATATAGAGCACAGCAGCTGTGGAGGTGAGAGCCTACAAGCGTCTATGCAAGTGGATCCATGAGAGCAAGTGAGAGTTGAGGTGAGGAACTTGGGATGGAAACCATAGTTTGCAAAGGTAAGACGTAGTAGTGTACTGAGCGGGCTCTGGTATCTGACGTCTGAGGGCAGAAGGTGATGCGTGTAAGTGAGGGACGATGTATGTGCTGGTGTGAGAGAAGTGAAATGAAGTGATGGAGAGTATGCTAAAGGTGATGACAAGATATAATCCTCGATGTTGTGCTGTCATGATACTGGTGAGGAAGGTGCGTTGTGTTCATAATGGCAGGCGCGTCCCTCTCCTCCGAACATCGCCATGGCTAGCACAAAGCTGCAAAGACATTGGGTCGCGACCGTAAAAATTATACGTTATATTCGTCCCAACTAGGCACTTGCTTGTTGAGGATATGAGGGTATCGAAAGTACTATTGACATGACAATTGCAATCCCTGTACGTAATGCAAGTAGAAAGATAGAACTCCTTAACCGCCACCTTTAATCGAACTCCCACCTAGTATCTATATGACGAAAAAAAAGGATCAAACGTATTGTAAAGAAAGAATCTAGCACTGCGCCTCATCAAGGTTGGGGTAGAACCAGGCCGCAAGAGCAATGATGACATAACTCGCCATGAGTAAAATGCCCTCAAGCCAATCTACATCTTGTTAGCAAAGTGTCCCAGTTGCATACTGAATGGCGCGAACTTACGTGACTTTCCGTCTTGAATGAGGTAGTTGACAAGCAACACCGAGACGAACAATGTAGCGATTTGGAAAGTGTCGAAGTAGAGCGTCATGCAGTCCTTGCCCAAGATCCATCCGAGAATGACGATCAGAGGGAAAACAAGAAGCGCGATCTGCATACTGGAACCGACAGCAACACCAATAGAGAGATCCATCTTATCCTTGATGGCGACAGTGACGGCAGTGGCGTGCTCGGCGGCATTACCCACAATGGGAAGCAGAATAAGACCAACGAAAGTGGTAGAGATATGACCCGTAGCAGTAAGACCATCGATACTGGAGACCATGAATTCCGAACAGAAAGCAACGAGGGTTGTCGAGATGGCGAGAGTGATGAGAGCACCAATGACAGAGAGCGATGGCTCTTCGAATTCGTCTTCGTCGTCCTCGTCATCCGAGTTTGGGTTCTTGAAAAGTGTGGTCATGTTGACGCCGCCTCCAGACGCTGCGGCAGTACCAGCGCCAATGGCTGCAATACCGCGCGATGCATCACCTTCTTCCTTCTTGCCGGACTTGCGCTTGGGCACCTTTTGACTGGGCTCGTTGTACATGGTGGAGTGTGTCTTCAACTGGAAACCGAGGTAGCAAGCGTAGACGAGGAGAAGAATGACGGCAGTTCCGTGAGATAGCTCTTGATTCCTGACAGCATCTTCGCTGCCATTGTGTGCGACTGCGTCATCTTCGGCAATTGTGTTGTGAAACACGGTCGGAATGATGAGGGATGCGATACAGAGAGCAAGTAGCGATGCTGCTGTCTGAGCCACAGTCACGTTGAAGAACTGTTCCAAGCGGTTGATACCCCCGAGAAAGAAGGACATGCCCATGACAAGCAGCAGGTTGGACAACATACTGCCGATAAGCGAGGTTTTGACAATGGTGATCTCGTTCTTGATCAAGGCTTGGACGGATACGATGAGCTCGACAGCATTTCCAAAAGTGGCGTTGAGAAGACCTCCAAGAGTTTCTCCAACCCGAATGGCGAGTTCTTCGGTGGCATTGCTCAGCATAGCGGCGAGTGGGATGATGGCAATGAAGTTGATGATGAAGACGGGCACAGGTTTGAGTCTAGCGTAGTACACGGCAAAACCGACGGGTACCATGATGAGAAGGACGTTGATCCAGGCACCAAACAAGACAAAGCGAATCTGGGCACCGATGGGAATCTTCCTTTTAAAAGCCTTCTTCTTGCGCTCTTCCAGGGATAGTTCGTCTCCTTCGGGCGCGTCCAAGCCGGTATGATCTTGGTCTTCGTGCTCTTTCCTAAATATGCCCTTGAACTTTGCTCTGCGGGTAGGGCCGCCGTTTTGGTCCTGGTTGGAGGGCGCAAGAGTGCTGTCCACTGAAGCCTTGTGCGCAGTGTCTGAATCAGTCGCGCCATCCTTGTCAAGCGAAGGATTTGGAACGGCGGCTGAAGCGGTCGCATGTGTTGGCAATGAGGAGGCGGGCTCAGTATTGTGGTGGTCTGGCATTCCAAATTCTTTCTCTGATTGCATGGTCTCGAGGCGCCTCTGCTCTTCAAATCCCGATGTTGCATTTGCCTCGGATCGTGATCTGTGCATTACGTTTTCCACATCATAATGGGAATCTCGAGAGCGCTGTCGAGCGAATGGGTTGTAATTGTTAGTTCCATTGCTGCCATGTTTTGAGGCAACGCGGTGCGCCTGCCTCCGTACAGTGTCTGAATTGGGTATGAGTTAGTGTGTAGATTCGAGTGGTGCTGGGGTTTGTGCTGATGATTCGGGCACGGGGCTCCACCTACGCATGGATGCAGATATATGTACTGTCTCTGTGTCGGTCGTGATCAAAGAAGGCGTTGAAAAGCAAGTGTCGATTTGGTGTTTGGGTTTGCGAAACCAAGAGGCGGGTGGAGGGAAACAAGAAAGGGAGAAAGGGACCAAGGAGAGATAATAAGTGGCCCTGGGCTTCCCTGCTTTGACGCGAAGGACAGCGCACGCCCGCTCGCGTCAGTGTGTGGCTGAAGTATAAAGTTGGCGAATAAAGAGCGTGGAATGAATGCTCTAGCCACAGGTCAACTCGGCCAGACTGCCATTTTGCGGGAAGTTGCTGAGGCTGTGTCTAGTAGCGCGGGCGAAGTTGCACAGCGCCAGTCGATTTGGCGCGAGTACCGATTACAATCATTTGCTACCATGTCGATTGTCGAATGCAATGTGCGAAGCTCAGCGTCATCATGTTCAAGCCTTCCAAGGAGCGTCCCAAGCTGCCCTTGGCTACGCCTTAAGCCTTGCAGCGTGTCTGGGCAATGACGCAGGGGCGTGGCGCTTATGCACAATCCAAACGCTTAATTGGCTCTTCGCTGACATGGCGCGCTGCCATCATCGTCCCAAGTACGTTTGTACACGCCGGCCCTGCAATAAGTCTGGAGAAAGCTTGCTTTTCTTCACCGCAACGCGGCTTCGAGAATATCGCTCATGCTCATACGCATCTTGATCTTCAGTAGAAGAGAGGCGCGGGATATGCACCTCCTTACACTAATATCGTTCCACCAATAGGCGGAGGAACATCCTATGCAAGCAATATACACTGTTTCCGTCCAATCTTATGTCTATGGCTCTTTGTGTATTCTCTGAAACCCTGGACTGGCGCAGATGAGATCTTCGCCGCAAACATCAAACTGCAGCATGTTTGTTTCCCGAACCTATTCTTACACTGCCAAACTACGTCTAGGCCAGCGATTTGAAACGCACATCTACCGGTGAACGGCTGGAACTAACATCTTCTGTGGAATACCGAGGTGCAGCCTATGGTATCGTGTTCTTTGATGTGGACATCAAAAGACTGAGCTCTAGCTTCTCTATCTTAACCCCTCTGTGCCACCTGGCCGCCTCCAGTCCAATACACGTTATTCCAAAATCCACGTAATGTACCTTGCGTAAGTATAGCACCGCGCCCCCCCCCCCCGCACAGCCCCAGGCCCACACTACCCCAGGATCACCACTACCTTCATCCTTTGAAACCTTAATTCCAAGACCGTTCCATTGCCAAACTCCCCTAACAAACCCCATCCATATTCTTTGTTTTTAAATGCACCTACCCAAACGGGCAATTCGAATCAAAAGGCATAGATTGCGGCGGGCTCAGAGCACAAAATATGCCGGCCCGGCCTCGCGGTATTGGCTGCCTGCAGTCGCCGAGAGGATGCCGCGCCTACGTACGTGGCTGGACTACGGCAAGGTGACGTTTAATTCGCCGTCCCTTTGACTACTCT